TTTACTTTTGGGTAAATGCTGAGTGTTTGGTCTCATATAGTTGATTGTTTAAGGGACCACATTACTCATGGATGCAGCTGCACCATTTTACATTCTCACCAGGAATGCATGAGAGCTACAGTTTCTCTACATCCTTGCCAACACTTGTTATTTTCCTTTTTTTAAAATAGTCGTCCTAGTAGATGTGAAGTGGTACCTCACTGTAGTTTTGATTTTCATTTCCCTAACAACTAATGTTGTTGAATATTTTCCATGTGCTTATTTGTGTATCTTCTTTGGAGAAATGTCTATTCAAATCCTTTGCCCATTATTAAATTGGTTTGTCTTTTTTACTGTTGAGTTGTAATAATTTTTTATGTATTATGGTTGCTAGACCCTTAGCAGATGTATGATCTGCAAATATTTTCTCTCATTCTGTGGATTGTCTTTTCACTTTCTTGATAGTGTTCTTTGAAGCACAGAAGTTTTTAATTTTGATGAGTCCAATTTATCTATTTTTACTTTTGTTGCTTGTGCTTTTGGTGTCATATCTAAGAAACCATTGCCTAATCCAGTATCATGAAGATTTAGCTCTTACATTTAGATTTCTGGTTCATTTTTAGTTAATTTTTATATGTGGTATGAGGTTGTTGTTGTGGTTAGGTGCCTTTGAATCAATTTTCAACTCATAGTGACCCCATGTGACAGAGTAGACCTGCCCCATAGGATTTTCTAGGCTGTAATATTTATGGGACCAGATCCCCAGGTCTTTTGCCTGCGAACCGCTGGGTGGTTTGAACCTTCAACCTTTAATTAGCAGCCAAGCACTTAACAGTTTTGTACTGCCAAGGCTCCTTATGGTGTGAGGTAGAGAGCATATAATATTAATTCCTGCTAAGCCTCTCAATAATCATGTGACCTTGGGTAAATTCTCTAACTTCTCTAAGTCTCATTTTCCTCATTTACAAAGTAGAAATAATAAATAGTACCTACCTAAATTATGTTTATAGTAAAGATAAAGAGAAAAAGAACTCAAAGCTATTATTGTTATAATATGAACAACTGTATGAATGATTTCATAGTGGTGGTGTTGGAAAGATGGGCAGCATTTCTGAGAGAGCAGTTTGGATGGGAGTGGGGAGGTTAGTTTCATCTACCTGGGTAGCAGTCCCACCTCACACTCCCACCCCATCGCTGGCCTCATGATCACCGCCATTGTTGTCAGTAGTTGCTGAGGAGTCTATCCCAACTCACGGTGACCCCATGTGACAGAGTAGAACTGCTCCATAGAGTTTTCTTGGCTGCAAGCTTTTTGTTTTTTCTCTTTCGAATATTATGTTTTAGGTGAAAGTTTACGCAGCAAATTAGATTCTATTCCAACAATTCTTACACAAATTGCTCTGTAACATTGGTGACAATCCCTGTGATGTGTCAGCACTCTTGTGTGTACTCTTTAGTACCTGAAATCCTTTACTAGGGTAATATTCTTGTATTACACGTGGAGGCAAATATGAGTAGCTCTAACCAAAGAAACTGTTGATTTGAATTGAATTCACCATGAATGGTGAATAATTACTATGAAATCTATTTCCTGATGACTCAGTGGGGATGGACAGTGGGGTATGGATACTAACCTGATGAAAGGGAATGAGACATGTCAAGAGTAAGCAAAAAGATCACAGAAAGGAGAGACTGGTGATACTGAACATCAACTTGACCATCTATACAATTATACACCAAAATCGATCTTGGTTGAGCTATTAAACAAAAGTCCAATTTTAAAAAATCTGAATTACTTCAGAAGAGACATGGTTTGTCCCTCCAGGCAGGAATGTTATTGCAATCTCTTGAAAAATATATTGAAATTATTCTTGATTGCCATTTAAATGATTTTTTAAAGTAATTTTCTATCAAACACGTTACACTGTGAGCAAAATCAAAGCATACCTTGATTCCCAGCATCATAGTATTTTGTAGTAGAAAATCGAAGTCATCTTCTTCAGTACTATCTAAATATGTATTATCTCTGGTAGGAAATGCATTTTAAAATAGATTTCCATCATTATTCTTAAAATTGAAAAGTATAGGTACAGTGAAAACTTCTAAACACATTTTGAAACTCTGGAAACTGAAGACTCTTTTCCTAATATGCAGGTACGACCGTGGGAGTGGTATGCGCCACGGACAGAGATGAGCCTGACACGATGCACACGCTCCTGAGATACAGCATTTTGGAGCAGACACCAAGATCACCTGGGCTCTTTTCCGTGCATCCCAGAAAAGGTGTCATCACCTTAACATCTCACTCTCTGGACAGAGAGGTAGCTTTCACACTGCCTAGAATATTATTTTACTGAGGGTCAACAAAAGCCTCCTACCAATTTACTGTCGTTTGCTATCTTGTGGATAAGAGTGTCTAATTCTATTTTAGGCATAAGACAATAAGAATTCCTGGCATTTTACCCTTTTTTATATAATTTCTCTTTCTATTAATTTATATCAGAGAAACCATTAAAGAATAGAAGTACAGATCAGTTAGTGTTTAGAAGGGGTAAGAAAGCAAATAAGGTTCTTCATATGAAAGTTATTATTATTGAATATTATTTTATTTCTTATCTGTGACTAGTTGGTTCCAGTTCAGTAATGGCTTCAATTCTCATGTGGAGCAATTGCTTAGCTTGTTCTGAGAGTATGGTTCATACTTCGATCTCTATCCAGTTATTATAGATATGTGATTTTGTATTAGGAAAGAATTAGTTATCAGGAAAGATAAAGTCTATGAATTATTAAAAACCTGTGACACTATTTGTATAATAACAATACTATATCATCATATGTACAGGGCTTTATGTTCAAATACTTTATGCATAATTGTATTCGGTATTTATAATTTCCTTGTTTGACTAGATAGGTGTTATATCCAGTCTACAGAGGAGAAATGTGACAGTAAGAAGCACTGATTGACTTGCCAAAGCTCAAGTTACTGCTCTGAATCGTCTGTACTTGTTGTTCTGTGCATTTTGTCAGCCTGTGGTTAACTGAGAGTCATGCTTTACTGACTGAGGTAGATGAATCAACTTCAAATGTACAAAACAGCTTAATTTTGTTCCTAACACTTCAGTGGTTTCCCCTACAACTAGAATAACACAAGTTGAAGGGTAGACATGTCTAAAGAAAAATCAATGATATTATAAAGAAAAATCAATGATGTTTGATTCCATAGAGGAAGAGAGGGACGGTGGGAACCTATAAAAAGGAATAAAAAAGTAGTACAGAGGTTTTAGGTATTGTTCTTTATACTTTTTGGGATGGGGGTGTTCCGTGTGATAAAGCATATAGTGGTGAAATAAGTGACCAAGTTCAAATGGGACAATACGAATGTATTTTTACATCTGTGGAGTATGCAAATATGAAATGGCATTCAAATGAAAACAAAGCTTTTCCCTCATTATTCACAGACTAACACAAAATGATAGAGGAACTTAGAAAAACTAAAGTTAAGATTGAACAATTTGTAAAATACACATTTGCAGTCAATCCAAGGTCTGCCTGCCTTGTGAAAAAAAAGGAAAATCGAATGAGATTTTGTGAGAGACTACCATGGGGTGTGTTGTGGGAGACAACACAGGAACTAAAGAAATGAAGGTGGGAGGAAAACAGTGAATTGAGGGGAAGAAAAAACAAGATATCAGAGAGTTTTGGAAGCTATGGTAGAATTTCAGGCTGAGAGTGCTGGTTTCGAATGTGGAATAGAGATCAAGTCACATGAAAACTGAGGGAAGAGATATAGGGAAACAGAAAATGAAGAAGAATAAACGAATGAAAGGGGCAGCTAATGAAAAAAAGATAAAAGAGAAAGACAGTGATTGAAGATGGTTGTTTCACAAACTAATAACTTCATTTCATCACCATACCATTAAACTCTACTTGCTGAAGTCATTAGTGATTTCCTAATTGTCAAATCCAGCAGCTACCTTTAAGTCCCCGTCTGTTGTTGGTACTTATCAAAAATCCTTTCTTCCCTTGAATTTCTGATTCTTCTGCTTCTCTGATCTTTCCTTTTTAAGTGTCCTTTGCTTAATCTTATTTCCCCTGTGTCTGAAATGCTACTGTTCCTTGGAATTGTATTTTCAGTTCTTCTCATCCTGTAACTTTTTCTGGATAATCAAATTCCTGATGTAACTTCAGTCACTATTTACATACTGATGACTCCCATTGCAGTATTTCTGGACATGATCTCGCCCTTACCTATGGGGCCATATATCCAGATGTCTTCTGTGTCTCTCGTCTTAGATTTTCCATAGGCACATAAGTTCAACATTTGCAAAGAACAACTCATTATTTTCACCTCTCCTTGCCAAGCTCACCTAGGATTCACTTCCTTACAGAACCTATCTGTCCTTCTGCATTTCCTGTATTGATGGTACCTCTGTCTGTCTACCTATCTAAGTAAGAATCCTGAACATCATTCTCAACCCTCTCTTTCTCTCTTAACTTGTACATGTAATTATTAAGTCCTATTTCATTCTAGGAGCCCTGATGGTACAGTGATTAAGCATTCAGCTGCTGACCAAAAGGATGGCAGTTCAAATCCACCAGCCGCCCCTTGGAAACCCTATGAGGCAGTCCTACTCTGTCCTATAGGGTCACTCTGAGTCAGAATTGACTCAATGGCAACCAGTTTGGTTTTCATGTTTTATTTCATTCTAAATCTCAAGTAACTTCTCCGTCACTCCTTTACTCTGTCCTCATTGCTACTGCCTTCAATATGGACCTCATGTCTTACACTATTATTAAAAAATAAATCAAGCCTATTGCTGTTGAGTCTAGGAGCCCCATAACTGATTTCTTTGACTCCAGCTCAGTTCACTACAAATTATTCTCAACCATTCTTTAATAGTCTTTCTAAAACTCAGATGTTCTTATTTTGTGCTCCACCGTGACTCCCGTAAAACCTTTCACGATTACCTGTCACTTAAAGCATTAAGCCTATATTCTTAGTATGGCTGTTCGTAATTTAAACTCTGCATACCCTTTCAGCTTTATCCCCGTATGACAATCTCCTAGAGTACATGCAGATGTGGAAACTGGATCAAAGCATGGATGCACATAAATAGAAGAATGTGTAGCCGAGAATATAAATCTAAATCTAAACATAAGTTTTATGATTAATGAAATATTTTCTTGGCTTTCAGACAGCACACAAGTACACATTGTTAATGAAAGTACAAGACATGGATGGTCAATTTTTTGGATTGAAAGCTACATCAACTTGTCTGATAACAGTACGAGATTCAAATGACAATGTACCTACTTTCAGACATAATGCTGTGAGTACAGATTATCAAAATCTATTGCTACTTTATCATTTGTTATTTAATCTAATTTAATAAACTAGTTATCACACTGTGAACTGTATGTTTATTTTATGAATAAAATTAAATAGCTGACATATAAATCTCTTTTATTCATATTAGAATTTTCTTTCCTCAATAAAGGCCAGAGACATTAGAATTTTCATTTATAATGAAGTTCTTTCATATTAAAAATAACCCTTATGAAACAATACTATTTGTGATTCAGAATTTTAAAATAATCTATGCAAAATATGTAAGAACAAGTATATTTAGATTGGAAAAAACATTTGACTTTCTTTGTAAAAGTTCTTTTTATAAAGTAAATTTTTAATGAATTCTTTCTGTTTCAGTATGAGGCATCAGTAGAGGAAAATACATTCAATGTGGAAATCTTACGATTACCTGTAGACGATAAGGATTTAATTAACACTGAGAACTGGAGAGCCAATTTTACCATTTTAAAGGGCAATGAAAAAGGACATTTCAAAATCAGTACAGACAAAGAAACTAATGAAGGCGTTCTCTGTGTTATAAAGGTATAGTAACAATGAACAATAAAAGACTTAGCAAATTAACAAGTTTTTATCAACTAAGAGTTTAATGGCACAGTTGTTAAGCATTCAGCTGCTAACCAAAAGGTCGGCAGTGCGAATCCACCAGCCACTTCTTGGAAACCCTATGGGGCAGTTCTACTCTGCCCTATAGGGTATCTATGAGTCGAAATTGACTCGACGGCAATGGGTTTGGTTTTTATTTGTTTTTGTTGAGATCAAGTTAAATTTGTAGATAAAGTTGGTGAGAATTAGCATTTTGATTTAATAGTTTAATCAACTAAACAGTTTCAGATCATAAACACTATAAATTCGAAGAGAACTTAAAATCTGTTTAGTCTAACTGTTCCTGTCAAATCTTGCCTTTCTTCTATACTTTATTCCCAGTTATTACTAACCTAGTTTATGCTTGAACACCTTTAATTATAGGGATCTCCATATCTCCACTGGCAGTTGATTCCGTATTTGGAGAGCTCTGATTCTCAGATGTTCTTACTTCTAACATGCCTAAGTTAAACTCATGTCTTTGACTCATGTCTTTATACCTGTTTCTACCTTAAATGCTACACAGAATAGTTATAATTCTTTTGAAAAAGTTTTTCTGTTCATTTGAAACTTATGTTCTCTAGGATAAATATTCCCAATTCACTTAACTCTTCCTTACATGATATAATTTAGAACCTCACGTTCTTCTCATTGCTTCTCTTGAATATATGCCTGGTTGTCTCTGATCTTTAAAAAGTAGCACTGAGGATGAAAAATAATATTGCAACAGACAGCACTGAATGAACTCATTCTTTGTTTTATATATTGTAATTTTGGTTGCAATGTTATATTCTAGGGCACATGTTATCAAGGAAGGAAGGGCCCTGTTAGGTAAGGACTCTTGTTTTATATTCTTAGTCCAGAACAGGAAAGAACTTTGTCATGTGGGCAGGTGTAGGGTTCACTCACTGAATAAAGGAGGCTTATCTGCTAATCATAATATGGTGGATCTTTGGTACATAAACATATCCATTTGTAGTTACTGTGTCTGTAAGAATTCCCAAGGATTATAAACTAAGATTTACCAAGTTCTTTCCACATGTGAGTAGTCAAATGTATTTGTTCTAGATGACTCTTAATAAGAAAGCTCTCCCTATTGCAGTTTTCTGTAATATGGCCTGCTCAAATGGAATGCTAAATACAAGCTACTTATAAAGAAATGAAGCTCTATGATTGAGAAAGGAAATTAATGATAGGAAATTGTAATAAGAAAGGAAATGGTACCAATTGTTTTCCCTCTTATTGGTCCAAATCTGCTCCTCCCTCCCCCTCACACATTGTCTTCTTTTTGGAAATAAGTCAAAGGAGTAGTTTGGGGCCTTGGATGGATAGACTATGCCCAGCTGCAGTACCTTAAGCCAGAGACCCACGCTCAGATTCTTTGGTCAAAATCCTACCTGCACTTTGGTCAGAAGCCTAATCCTTTTCTGAGGTCCCTCTCACTGAAGGCCATTACTCAAGACCTATTTGGAGAAACTTCATTATCATTATTATCGTATCTTAATGGTTTCATCTTCTACAGAGACTAAATTCAAGTGATACTAGGAATTAAATTATTGTTGTGAGCTTTTTTTTGACCAATACAAAACGCTCTCTAATAAACATCTCAAAAGAATATACTCTAAAACAAAGCATGGTCACTGTGTATATGTGAACATATTCAGTATGTAACTTTTTTCCAAAGAGTGCTGATCACAGAGATATAAAAAACATTTCAAGTGTCTTGGGAAGTGGTATCCTGGAATACTTCTCACCCCAAGTAACTGATGGACATCTGTTTCATTTCTTGTGAATGACTTCTGTACCAGACAGAGTTTCCCCAGGATGGGGAGCAGTTAGATAATTATACTTTGCTGCTTTGTCTTTAGTTCAGTTTTACTCACTTTCCCATGTGAAAAATATAGGAAATATCTTCCCAATACAATTTATATGCATTTATTTCCATTATCTTAGAACATAAGATTGTTATCAGGTGCCCTCAAGTCAGTTCAGACTCAGCGACGCTATGTACAACAGAATGAAACACTGCCCAGTCCTGTGCCATCCTCACAATCATTGATATACTTGAGCCCATCTTTGCAGCCACTGTGTCAGTCCATCTTGTTGAGAATCTTCCTGTTTTTCCCTGACCCTCTACTTTACCAAGCAGGATGTCCTTCTCCAGGGACTGGTTCCTCCTGATAACATGTCCAGAGTACATGAGACAAAGTCTCACCATTCTTGCCTCTGAGGAGCATTCTGGCTGTATTTCTTCCAAGGCAGATTTGTTCATTCTTCTGGCAATCCATGATATATTCCATATCCTTTCCCAACACCATGATTCAAAGGCATCAGTTCTTCTTATTCATTGTCCAGCTTTTGCACACATATGAGGCAATAGAAAATACCTTGGCTTGGGTCAGGTACACCTTAGTCTTCAAAGTGACATCTTTGCCTACATCAGGTAGTTGCCCTTATATTAAAAATTACACTCTACTTCCTACCATCTGGGAAATGCTTTTAGTATTTTTGGAATTTTAAAAGTAGTTGCCATATACTGAGAATCTTTTATGCCACAGGAAACCACAGCAGGCACTTTATGTAAGTTATAGCTTAATGTCACATCCCCATGACGGTAAGGTATTATTATTAACCTCCATTTTATAATAAAATAAATTGAGGCTGGTGGAAGTAAATAAACCAGACTCATCGCCATTGAGTCATTCTCACTCATAGTGAACCTATAGGACAGAGTAGAACTGCCCCATAGGGTTTTCAAGAGTATAAATCTCTATGGAAGCAGACTGCCACATCTTATTCCTGCAGAGCAGCTGGTGGGTTCAAACAGCCAACCTTTCGATTAGCAGCCGGGCACTTAATCACTATGCCACCAGGCCTCCTGATGCAAGTAAATAACTTCTTCAAATCCAAACATCTAGTAATTATACACCCTGGAATACAAACCTGGCCTATGTAGCTCCAAAGTCAATGATCTTTCCATTGTTTCATGCCATGTCCCATCAAGCCCACGCAGTAGTTTATATTCAATATACCACAGAGCCCATAATAGCCTCCTTATCATGAAATCCAGTCATATTCTTATGTTTACATCATGATATTAAGCCAGAATTAACACCAATGGCTAATAATTTTTATTTACTGAGTGCTAGGATTATGTCAAGTGTTTAACCTGTAGTACTTCATTAACTGTTTTAAATGCTAATAGATTACTTATTTATTGTTCATTTAAGTTTTGTTAAAGTAGTATATTCACAAAGTCCAAATTGAAAAGAGACAAAAAGCATATACCATAGTAAAATGTCTCCCGTTTGTTGAGATCGGAGCCCTGGTGGGGCCATGGTTAGAAGCTCGATTGTTAACCAAAAGGTCAGCAGTTGGAATCCACCAGCCACTCCTTGGAGACACTATGGGGTTGTTCTGCTCTGTCCTGTAGGGTCACTATGAGTTGGAATTGACTTGACGGCAATGGGTTTGGTTTGTTGTAGTTAAGATCATGTTAAATTTGTAGATAAAGTTGGAGAGGATTACCATTTTTCTCATAGTAAGTCCTTCTATCTTAAATCATAACTTGCTGTTTCTTTTTTTAAAAGTATTTTAACATTTTTCTATTACTATTACATAGTAAATTGATTCATATACATATATATTCATATACATTTTTTATTTACTATTGAAACGAGGCCCTTCATTATATTTTCTAACTAATTGTTGTGTGTATATGTGAAAGCTAGTGAATTATGTGTATTCATTTTATTTTCAGTCAACCTATTAACTTGTCCAGTTGTTTGTAATACTATTTCAGTTGATTCCTTTGATGGTCTATGTGTACACAAATAGATACATCTTCAAAGAGAGATAATTTTACCTCCTCTTTTCCAATACTCTAATTTGTCATTTAATTGGGCTCCAGAACAATGTTAAATGAATTAATATGGTGAATTATTTTTACAAATTCCCTATTGTCTGACAGTTTTTGTATTCCTGCAAAGACTGTATTGGTCCTGTTGTATTAGTCTGATACTGATCTTTCTTGTTGGATTTTGTTTCTATTATTTTATCTGGGATGTTTGCATTCATATCCACAAATGAGGTTTGTCTCTCTAGTTTTCTACTTTTGTACGATCTTTGTTTAATTTTACTATCAATTGTATGGTCCCTTCTGAAAAAGAATTTATTTTCCTTCTTTTTCCCATCCTCTGAAATAGTGTAAGAAAACATTGGATGTTAGTATATGTTTTTATTTTAACCTTCCCAATCACCCCATGTGTTTGTCACTGTCATTATTCTCATTTCCAGATGAGTAGACAGAGTCAAAGAGAAGTGAAGTACCTTGTCCAAGGTCATACTACTAGGAGGAGATAAAGCCAGGATTCAATCCCAGGTCTGCCTAACCCAGAGCCCTTAATCATAACCACTAAGTTATTGTCCTTTCGGCTTGGTATCCTCGATCATGTTCCCTTAGTTCTCTTTCCCGTACCTAGGTTATTTGGCTTGATACAGCCATGACTTCAGTTCCACAATGGGGTCTTCTCTAGTTGACATTTTGATTAATTCATTCCCTCTTTTCTGAATTTGTTATTTTTAAAATTTCTATCCTCTTCGTCTGTCGTTATCAGCTCCTTTGTCAATTTTACCTTCTCTTTTTCTTTGAGTCATTCATCATATTCTCTAACATTTTGATCAATAATATTTGAGTTTGCCCATGTTATGTCTTTCTTTCCATATATTATGCAAACCCTTAAAAAAGCCTGGATGTATCACAGAGCTCCTTTGGTAGGTAGCCCCACTGATCTCTAAACGTAGCTTGTCCTTGCTTTGGACAAGGCTTGTAGTTGTGTAGTTATGCTGTGAAGTACTTTTTAACCTCGAAGAGGTATCTTCTTTTCTAAAATCTCACACTGCATGATCAGAGCATTTGCAGCCCATCTTTCATCTAGGGAATGCACCTAATGATGACCAGCCTTCTCCTTACTGGTTAAAATTGAGAATGACGTTGTTGTATTGTTTTCTCTAAAGGAATCCTCCTTTTTTAATTCCCAAATTTTTCCTTGTTATTCAGAATTAAGTGAGGATGGGAGTGCCTTTTATCAATGCTTTTATACTTTAAAGGATGAAATATCCAATACTTCTTTTACCTGAACAAAGCCTCCAAATGTTGTTAGTTGATGTCTCCAATGATAGTATTGACTTTTAATAAAAAATGCATCATTGATTCCCACCATTTACCTATGTGGCAGTGTAAGAGATTACTAAGTGCTGTAGTGCAAAGCACGTACTATATGCTGGAACACTAAATACCATTCTTATAACAATCCCATGAGATGGGTACTAAATTATACCCACAAGAAAACTTAGTCTCAGAGAGGTTAAGAAACTTGCCCAAAGTCACACAGCTAGGATGAAGCAGAGACAGAATTTCAACCTAGGTCTTCATGATGGCAAGTATATGCTTGTAAGACAGTATTTTAAGTTGCTTTCCATAGCTATATGATCTTAGAAAGGTAGCTTCTATACTATCTGTAAAATAAGAATTGTAATTCTCTACGCCTTCTAGGGTTATTATTCAGTCAATAATGAAATTAAAAGTACTTGGTAAACTATAGAACAGTATTATTATTTTTTTAAAAGTCATGCCATATTCTTGGAATTAGTGTTATAATTTTCCATAGTAGTTAACTTTTCTGTAACCATAGAGCATGATCTGGACTGTGGCTGAATCCTGGGTAATCTTTCGTCTCAGTGCTTTCTTTCCATTTTAGCAACAGCAAGAAGGCATATGGGTTTGATTGAGGATGATGATGTTCTTGGTTATTCTCAGCATGGAGGTTCTCAGTTCCATTTCCTAGGGAGGTGTTAACATCTCAGTATATATAGGGATTTTTTTTTTTTTGGAAACATTATTTTTTTTTCCAAGTGATGAAACAGATAAACCCTGAGGTGAACGAGAATCCATGTTCTTTCACAAGACATTGGGATTTCATCCCACCAGATTTCTAATCTTGCAGAGATTTAAGCCATTAAAGCAATGTCAAGCTTAAGCCTCAAAACCGAAGAGACTCTAAGGATTTAGCAGGTGACTTTGAACAAAATAGCTATACCTCCTCCAGGGCAGCAGCTGTTTCCTAAATTTCCATCCATTTCTCACTGGAAACAGATGGCTTGACTTTCTGTATGATCATACCAACACGTGTACTTTGTGAGATAGTACTCAACAGTATCAAATAAACAGATACTAGTACTTTCCCCCTCTTAACTCTTGAGTTTCTGAGATATTTCTGAAAAATTAAAGAGAATTTCACGTACCTTTTGTGATTTCTAAGGTTCAGAGATATTAGCTTCTCAGCGAGTTCATGATATAAGCATCCCAGCCTGGTGAAACTAAGTGTGGTGCAAAGTTCAAAACAAAAATCATACTCATCAGTTTTGACTTCATTCCGTATTTAGCAACTGTTTAAATGTTTTGGTAACCCGAAATAAAATCAAGGAATTGTTCAACCTTCCCAAACAAAAAACCAAACCCGTTGCTGTCGACTAGATCCCGACTCGTAGTGACCTTGCAGGACAGAGTAGAGCTGCCCCACAGGGGTTCCTGTAGCTCTTAACCACTATGCCACTAGGGTTTCCTTTCAACCTTAGTACAGTATAAAGTAGTGTGTTTTGAGTTTTGCTTGATTTGCTGTCTAATATCCATTATAATTAAAGAACAGATTGCAAAAATTTTAGAGATTTGTGAACCTATTAAACAGCATAGTATAGTAGATGGAGTATACCATAGGGGTTAAGGAAATAGACTTAGGCCACACTACCCATTGCCGTTGAATCGATTCTGACTCATAGCGACCCTATAGGGCAGAACTGCCCCCTAGGGTTTCCAAGGAGCAGCTGCTGGATTTTAACTGCCAACCTTTTGGTTAGCAGCCGAACTCTTAACCACTGCGCCACCAGAGCTCCTCAGGCCACACTACATGACTTTAAATGCCGGCTCACATAAATAACTTTTGGCCTTGGGAAAATCAATTTATTTCCTTCCGCTTCAGTTTCTCGCTCTGAGAATGGGAATAATGATATTAATAGTACCTACCTCATAAAGGTGTGAAGAGTCAATGCGTTTATTCTTGCTACTTAGAACAACGCTACGTATTTGATGATGCTTATCATTAGGCACAAAGGTCCCTGTGTGATGCAAATGGTTTGCGCATGACTGCTAACCAAAAGGTTGATGGGTCAAACCCATCCAGTGGTACCACAGAAGAAAAGCTCTGGCAATCTGCTTCCATTAAGATTACAGCCAAGAAAACCCTATGGAGCAGTTCTACTCTGTAACACATGGGGTCACCATGAGTCAAAGACAACTTGACAATAATCAACAACAACAACATCATTAAGCAGAACATATTTGTCTAACTTCTCTTTGCCTTCAATGGGAGAATTTCATTGGATAAACTATGACAGTGTCAAAGTATAAGTCTCAAATTGTCAAAAAAGACAAAGCACACTCCAAAGAAACAATGAGAACTGGGATGGATTTTGATAAAAAGAAGAGAATGCTAAAATAAGATTGCTCAGATGTCTTATAGAGCAATTAAAACATACATTTAGAGTATCTTTTCTATGAGACAGAAAATAAAATCATTTTACCTTTTCAGTTTTGTAAAGTCAACATCTAACTTTATAGAGTTGCAAAATGCCTAGGCCCTAATCAGTGGTAAATAGTGTGTTAAATGAAGTTGCATTTCCTTGGAGACTGAGACGAGTGTTAGGAAGGCTTGTTAGACAGTACTCCAGGAGGGCCATAAGAACACACAATCATCTTTTTGCATTATTTCCAGGTTCAGGGTAATTTTCCGTAGCAGAAGTGAACTATAAAAATGTTCCAGGAATTGCTTTTCCACGACTCTATAAAGTCATCTCAGGAACCGTTGAACCACTTTTCCTAAAGGCTTAGCACAGAACCACCTTTCTCTTTAACAAGGGATAAAAGTCAGTATTGGCAAATTGGAAGGAGCCCTGGTGGTGCAGTGGTTAAGCACTCGGGTGCTAACTGAAAGGGTGGTGGTTTGAACCCACCAGCTGCTCCGCAGAAGAAAGATATGGCAGTCGGTTTCCATAAAGATTACAGACTTGGCAACTCTATGGGGCAGTTCTACTCTGTGGTATAGGGTTGCTGTGAATTGGAATTGACTCAATGGCAATGGATTTTGGGTTTTTTATGGGCAAATTGTGAACGTAGAATTTTTGTAGCACTGTTACTGACAAAAGTTCAGTTGCTATTTGAAATCTCAAATGTATTTTACCCTGATGCTGATGTATGTATATTTTATTTTAAAGCCACTGAATTATGAAGAAAACCGTCAAGTGATCCTGGAAATTGGAGTAAACAATGAAGCTCCCCTCACAACAGATACTGCAATTAGATCAGCAACCATGAGCAGAGCCGTGGTTACAGTTCATGTGAAGGATCAGGATGAAGGGCCTGAATGCAACCCTCCAACCCAATACATACAGATTAAAGAAAACTCAGAAGTCGGGTCAAAGATCAACGGCTATAAGGCATATGACCCAGAAACTAAAAGTAGCAAAGGTTTAAGGTACAAATAAATCTATAACCACATACTAATATATTTGTAATAGTTGAGACCTTTAGGTATTTTAATACATTTTCTTTTCTTTTTTATTAACAGATATAAAAAATTACATGATCCTGAAGGGTGGATCAATATTGATGAAATTTCAGGGTCAGTTATGACTTCTAAAACCCTGGACAGGGAGGCAGTGACTCCCAAAAATGGCTTATATAATATTACAGTCCTGGCAATAGACCAAGGTAACATAATTTTAATCTGATATTTCAGAAAGGAATTGGAGAATAAACTTAAAATTTTCATGGCTATAATTGACTCAAAATACCTTAGAGGATAAAATAAATTGATATTTTTTCTTAGGAATATCAAAATAAAGTTTAATAATAATTCCTAGTAATGTGTAATTATTAGCAATTCTCTTTTTTTATTGTACTTTAGGTGAAGATTTACAGAGCAAACTAGTTTCTCCATTAAAAAATTAATACATGTATTGTTTTGTGGCATTGGTTGTCAACCCCACCGCATGTCAACACTCTGCTTCTCGACCTTGGGTTCTCCTTTACCAGCTTTCCTGTCCCCTCCTGCCTTCTCATCCTTGCCCCTGGCCTGGTATGCCCATTTAGTCTTGTATTATTAGTAATTCTTAGTAACGTGGGGAAAGAGTAATTCATGTCATTCTTTCCTCACTAATAACAAATTGTTTTTTCTAAGAATAAATAGTCATACTTTAATTCCTAGTCTTCATAAAATGTAATTGTTGGTCAGTAATAGTATCCTGTATTTGTATTGTATTTTCACTTATCTTTATCCATTTTACATCTATTGAATTTCACTATAACCTTGCAAACTATTATTCTCATTTTAAGAAAAAATCAAGATAGAACCAAAGAGATTAATAAGTTTGAGTCCAGAATTATTTTCAGTAACTTGTGCTATCTCTTCAAGAAAATGTCTATAAGGTAGAGCAGAGAGATTATAGTCTTTTTACCTTTTTAATCTCTTCATTGAAAAGCATGTCTGTGAGTGATTCTCTTTTAACTTCTTTTTTTTCTAAACATTTGACTCCATTTGTAATGAAACTGTTTTTATTTCTGAAGACTACCATTTTCACATTTATTAAACATTGTGGATTTGTATAATTGTAGAAGTTCATATTTTCTTGTCTAAGATTAGCAATATTTGGATTCCTCACACTGAATAATGAGACTAAGTACATTACCAATTTTACATTATTGGAAGCAAGTAAGTATTTAAAGAATTATCTAGCATTTATCTTTAAAGTAAAATTCACATTTTAATATTGAATGAAGAATGTCAGAGTCAGCAGAGTCCTTCAGTATCCTCTAACCCATGCTCATTTAAAAAAAAAAAAAAAGGAAGAAGACAAGGCCTGGCTCCTTCAGTCCCCTGGCTAAGGTGAATAGCCCATTCTGAATTAGAAATTATTGGTTTATCCACCCTCCCCCTTACAATACAATGAAGGCAATACAAATCAATTCATAATCTGGAAAAAAAATATTCTAAAAACAAATACAGTAGTTTCAAATGCAGTGCAGGTGATGTAGGGAGGGTAGTTGAGTCCTTTGACAGTGCTTGGGCGGTTTCTTCCACTAGCGTGATTAATCCATAATTGATACTATTTTTTCTTTTCTTTGAAACCTCTTAAAACTATGCTTTCCACTTTTCACCCTTAATTATTCTTGTGCAGTGGGTAAATATATGGAATTTTATAAGATTAGTTTAACTCTGTATCTCTCTTAATCATCTAACAAGATGAAATTTCTGGGGACAAGGAGCCATGTCTTATTTACCTTTATATCTCAAGCATGGTGGACCTTAAATGCTTATAGATCTCTAGATACTAAAGGACATAGATGAGACTTAAGTCTAGAACTAGATAAAATGGCCTCATAGGACTCTTCCAGATCCCTTTATGTCACTTTAAATTGAGTCTTTATTTAGCTCAGCTGATTATTAGTATAGAAATTATACTTTCTTTGAAGTCTTTTCCTTAAAATAACCCATATTTTCTCAACCCTGGCTTCATATTAGAATAATTTGAGAAGCTTTTAAAACATATTAATGTCTAGACACTACCTTAGACTCATTGAATCGGAATCCCTGGAGTGAGACTGGGTGTCATCTATTTAAAAAATAGAAGAAGTTTGAGACCAAAATGGACGTAAGAAGAGACTCTGAAACTTGCCCTTGAACATAGAGTAGCTAAAGCAAAAGGGAGAAATGATGAAGTAAAAGAGCTAATAGAAGATTTCAAAGGACAGCTGGAGAAGACAAAGTAAAGTATTATAATGAAATATGCAAAGACCTGGACTTAGAAAACCAAAAGGGGAGAACATGCTTGACATTTCTCAACTGAAAGAACTGAAGAAAACATTCAAGCCTCAAGTTGTAATAGTGAAGAATTCTATGGGCAAAATATTGAATGACAGAGGAAACATCAAAAGAAGATGGAAGGAATAAACAAAGTCACTGTATCAAAAAGTGTTGGTTGACATTCCATTTCAGGAGGTAACGTATGATCGAGAATGATGGTACTGAAGGAAGAAGTGCAAGCTGCACTGAAGGCATTGGCAAAAACAAGTCTCCAGTAATTGGCAGAATACCAATTGAGATGTTTCAACAAACAGATGCAAAGCTGGAAGTGTTCACTACTCTATGGCAAGAAATTTGGAAGACAGCTACCTGGCCAACCAATTGTAAGAGATCCATATTTTTGCCCATTCCAAAGAAAGATTATCCAACAGAATGCAGAAATTATCGAATACCATTAGTGTCACACCTAAGTAAAATTTTGCTGAAGATAATTCAAAAACGATTGCAGCAGTACATCAACAGGGAACTGCCAGAAATTCAAGCCAGATTAGAAGAGGATGTGGAATGAGGGATATCATTGCTGATATCAGATGGATCTTGGCTGAAAGCAGAGAATACCAGAAAGATGTTTACCTGTGTTTTATTTGACTGTGTGGATCATAACAAATTATGGATAACATTGCAAAGAATGGGAATTCCAGAATACTTAATTGTGCTCATGTGGAACCTGTATGTAGACCAAGAGGAAGAGTTCAAACAGAACATGGATATACTGCCTATTTTAAAATCAGAAAAAGTGTGCATCAGTGTTGTATTCTTTCACCACACGTATTCAGTTTATATGCTGAGGAAATAATCCGAGAAGCTGGACTATATGAAGGAGAATGGGGCATCAGAATTGAAGGAAGACTTATTAAATACCTGCGATATGCAGATGACACAACCTTGCTTGCTGAAAGTGAAGAGGACTTGAAGCATTTACTGAAGATCAAAGACTTCAATACGGGTTACACCTCAACATAAAGAAAACAAAAATCCCCACAACTGGACCAGTAAGCAACATAATGATAAATGGAGAAATATTGAAGCTGTCAATGATTTCATTTTACTTCGATTCACAATCAACGCCCATGGAAGCAACAGTCAAGAAATCAAATGACACATTGTATTGGGCAAAAACACTCTTAACCTCTTTAGAGTGTTAAGAAGCAAAGATGTCACTTTGAGGGTGAAGGTGTGCCCCACCTAAGCCATGGTATTTTCTTTTCTTTCTTTTTTTCTTTTTTACCTGATTAGTCTCATTTTATTTTCTTCTTTTTTTTTTTAAAATTGTGCTTTAGGTGAGAGTTTACAGCTCAAGTTAATTTCTCATACAAAAATGTATACACAAATTGTTATATGACACTAGCTGCAATCCCTATAATGTGACAGCACACTCCCCTTTTCCATCTCAGGTTTCCTGTGTCCATCCAACCAGCTCTTGTCCCTTTCTGTCTTCTCATCCTGCCTCCGGACAGGAGCCACCCACTTAGTCTCGTGTATCTGCACACTCTTCATGAGTATTATTTTATGTTTTATAGTCCAGTCTAATCTTTGTCTGAAGAGTTGGCTTTGGGAATGGTTTTAGTTCTGGGTTACAAGAACATCTGGGGGCCATGTCTTTGAGGGTTCCTTCAGTCTCAGTCAGACCATTAAGTCTGGTCTTTTTATGTAAATTTGAGTTCTGTACCCCACTTTTCTCCTGCTCCTTCAGG